TGCTTTCTTTCCAATTCTTACTGACCGGCTTCGACATCGCCAACCCTGTAACTGCACCGATGCTACTTTTTTTGCGTATTATGATATATGTGGGCTGAAGAATTATTGAATTAATGCCCAACATTTTAATGTAACCCATAAAGAACTATAAAAATTTGGCTTTAATATTGTTACGTTATACGAAATAAAATTTATACAGCTGGCGCCATTTGCCTGACAAGCCTGTATAATTATGTCAGAAGCAAATGTCTTATTAATAATTAGGATTATGATGTGGATACAGTTGGCATAAAAAATTAGTCAGTCTGGTTTGTCAAAAGCTACACACATCATTCAAGTAAAATTCCGTTAAGAAAAACATTTTGGCTCAACATTTTACATTATAATTTGTTAGAAAATTTTTATTCAAGGTTCTGGAGTGTTATGGTTAGGATGAGAATCATGAGAATCGACCAATCAGGCTTCATATTCTACTTGGTGAGTAAAGAGACTTTTAAAAATATAGGGTTTCAAAATTGACTTCACTGTAAAGTAAGGGAATAGAACCGATGGGATTGGTTGAAACAAAGGTTACCAATCAAATTACATTACGACAGATGAAAATATAAACTCCCAAAGATATTTTCACTTAAAAGTTAATACATTTTGTTGAAAAAATAAATTAAGATGTGGTTTACATGTGTCGTTGATGATGAATTAAAATGTGCAGAGAATGCGATTCTTTCAACAATATTAGCCTGAATAAACTTATGGTTCTGTATAAAAAAATTTCTGCTTTAAAATATTACATTAGAGGATATATTTAAGTTTCTATTGAAGCAAATGTTTCTTTGTTTATTCAAACATTTCAGCAAAATATAATCCATCCAAAGCTTGAAATTTTAACTTTAATCTTAGTGAATACATGGTGAGTGCGATCAATTTTTTGTTGTTGAATGACGTCTGGTTTATGTGAATGGCGTATGAGCATCCCTTAAATTTTTAACTGAACACCTAAATAGTCACGTAACTATCACATTTTTCTCTCCACTTTAGGCGTTATGTATACTTAAATATGCTTACATCATAACTAAGTTTAACCCTTAACTGTAAACACTATTATTTTAAGAACATTATTATACATCATTGGTTTGATAAGCTGTAAAGCGTTCGAAGTTGTAAGCAACACCAGTGTTCCGATTTCACTTGGACTGACATAAAGTAATACATATTGCCACCATTCTAATTATGCCTAAGTGGATAACAAAAGTGATTATTGTTCATCTGTCACAGCTTAGAAATGAGACAATGTACTTAACGACATCATACAAAAAGGCATCTACTTTCGATTTTCTTGAACTAGTCACTGAAGTCTCACAAGGGTTGATTCTCGGTGAATTTCGGTCGAAGAGCTCATTTCAATGAAAGAATCATCAAGAGTCAGGTGTAGAACACCTTAGTGGTGCACAGTCATTACCTAACAAGAGATAAAAGCCAACGTTTCCGTAATACGAGTTAAGCACACCTATCCCTCATCCACGGATTTAAATCAATAGGACTTCGACCCCTTCCGATTCACAACATAAAGCCACCATGAATCAATTTCATCAGTAATTAACTGTTCCCAAACTTAACAAAATGAAGTCTATCCGTTACGATTTCATCCTGAAGTTGAATACTTGACAACGATAAATAACCTAGATTATGCTGTAAAATAACTTAATAAAGATAACAAGAAGATGAGAAAGTGTTGTCGAAATAATTCAGTGTAACTCAGGAGGAAAAGAGTATAGGTTTCAGCAGACGAACCTGTAAAAAGAAAGAAGCAATGAAGATATGTTGAAAAAGAATATTATTTGCTAAGTAGTATTATGAAGTAAGCAAAAGCGCGCTGTCCGTTAGATAAAAAAAGGAATGAATCAAGATACCTAAAACTCATTTTATTGTAAAGTAGAGGAAAAGGTATGAGTTAATTTAATGTTTCTGAGAAAACGATAGCTTCAGAGTATTAGCTAAGAAACATAGAAAATCAATTGAAAAATGTTTCAACTTCTCTGTTCTCAAATCAAGACTGTGCATACAAAATATATTTCAAATGATATGTAAAAGAAGCGGCAGATTCATATCAAAATACGACATCTCCCAGTTAGCCCACTTAAAAATAACAAACAATTCGTTTATACGACTAAGTCTTTTGTATTCAGAGTATTAATGCTGCTGAAATACGCTCACTCTGCGGTTTTAGTACACGTGAAGTATAATCATTCAGAATGAACTGCTCTTATCATGATAGATGAAGGAAAGCTACTTGACATTCATTTATATAAAACAAAAGACTCCCACTGGAAAATAATGGTTCTTTAACTACTCTTTCTCAAGCAGTATACTTATATATATATCACATTTACGTGACGGTAAAAATTTCGTCACAGTTGAAAAAACTATGCAATCTGTCAAGTCGAATGTCATAAAGATTAATATTAGATGAACAGAGTTAAGCAGATGACTTAGAGGATGTTATGTAGCTAAAAGAATGAACTATAACTCAGAGATGGAAAATGAAATCATAAGTAAAATGCAGATTTGTAGCAGTCAGATGAATTTTTTGGGAAAAAGAATAAACGAAATTCCATGGGTTAATTACAGCTTATGCGTCAGTGGTTCAACTGTACAACGCTCACTAGCCACTCAGGAGGTCTCCCGGCTGATACAGTCTTCACCCACGCCTAGCTCACCGTAAGAGCCGGAGCGATGACTGCTTTGGCATGATGTCACCCACTCTCTGAAGACAACACTACTGTTACTGAGACTCCAGAAGCCTGAAGCCCCGTGTGCCACTCAGAATATAAGGAATGAAGAAATAATGCTGAATGCTTTTACCTGCTCAGTCTGTTACAGACTTTTCGAGTGAACAAATATTTTTCGTATTCGTTTTACGAGCTTTAAAATGTGCACAGACATAGTCTCCACAACTTGATAAAATTTTATCCCTACATTCTTCAACAGATTCTCAAGTAGCGTGTATATAACCCCAAAATCGAGTTATAATTTATATCTGACGCATTAACACAGTTTAGATGTTCTAAAATTAAACAGTGCAGACACCCGTTTTCTCTTTTCATACTGACAGTGACAATATGTTACACATGCAAACGAAATTATCTTAATGAGTTATACACTAACACACTAATTCATTAGCTAAATTGGTATTTTCACAAGTATACTGTGAATATCAGCCTTTTTTCAATACAAAATGGAGTTTAGTGCTGGACCTTCTGTATGGAGATTTCTTTGTGCTGAATTCTGGATTTTACAGGAGATATTATCTTTTTATTCTATCCACAGTTAAGGATAACTTAAAAGAGTTCGTAGGTATTTGGAACAGCAGTCTTGGATCAAGAGCGTCCCGGAATAACTGCATCAGCGCGTGATCTTTTAAGGTTTATGTTTAGGAAAAGGTTAGTGAAGAGATACAAATATCTTTCCCAAGTAGTATAGTCTAATAATTAACATATTTCGAGACCTCTAGGAACGAAACAGATTCTAATCTTTTCCTGGTAGCAAGAATTTATTATAAAAGATAGGAAGCCTAAGCCAGATAAACGAAATATATTTCAGATCCCTGAAAAGATGATTTCCTGTAATATGCAATTACCTAAAGTGTCTTTATCTGTTTTCGCTTTCATTGTTTGATCTAGGAACTTACTTGTTTCGTTTTCTCGACCTACCTCTTCTGTGCTTCGTGTAATCTTTTGCAGTGAACTACTTATTGTCGCTCAGAATAAAGTAGACGTTGTCTAAGTTAGGGTTTATAACTTTTGTATATTCTAGATGGTTAAACATATTCAATCCACTGCTTGTCAACAGATGTGGTATCGTTGTTCCTTAACGCATACTTAACAGTATTGTATTATTTTAGTTACACACTTAAATGTTCACCTTTACTTCAAACTTTTACATTTCGATGACAACATTCACTGTTGGAGAACTTGTGCTGGTAAACAAAGATACTGATACTGTCATATGCGCAAACAGTTGCTTGATCCAACTACACTTATTTGAGGTTGATCAGAAAACAGTTGGTAAGCCGAAACAGAAGGGCAAATATGTGTTCCAAAAGACTCCACTTTTATAGTGAATAATTTATTATTCTGATAGCATTATATCGAATGCTTTACTGATATTTTACATTTCCATGTTTGCCACCAGAAGATGCGTGATTTTAGTTATATCCTAAACAGTATTTTGGTGCCACTTTAAACACTACTTATACCAAACTTATCAAAAGAAAAATAACTTCATACTTGTTGAAAAATACATGGTGCCAGCAGCTTAATAACCTAGTGGATGAAGCTTTACCTAGATGACTGAGAGGTTCAGCAGAACGCAAGAACTTACAGCCTAGGAGTATCAGTTAGGAAGAGACTTGGGATCATTCACTTAACAGCTGTCGTATAACAAATTGAAGGCACACATGCTGTCTCATGGATCAAAGGTACAATAATTATTGCTTTACTCAGTTGTTTTGTGTTCCCAGTGGGATATAGGGCGTCAGGCTGACGTTTTTAAATCCAGCAGTGGTAATTTTGTTTTTTCCGGAATGACAGCCAGCCTCACACCAGGCCTTTCCCATTTACCGAACTTACTACCATCTAAGCCAGGTTTAGTAGTGAGTCAACAGGGGATCGAACTCCAGACCACAATACATGGTCGTGGAACATTCCACAGTTGTACCACCAACCCACAACCGCATAAGAGACTGAAAAACAAATTTCGCGATTCATAAATTTATCAGTTATTTAATTAATCCACAAACCTAACTTCTAACAGAATTTGAATTAAAACCTCCTATTTTTATATTTTAGAGGTGGAAAATGTTCCAGATGACAAAAGTTTTCAAACACTGTGCGAAAAAATTCAATTATCAATGAGCCATTTAGATCATTTGGTACAATTGTGCGATCTATTTGATCCTGATATAATTTTAATAAATTTAATTTATACATAATTGTATCATAACAATGAAATGTGAGGAAATCTCGGTAAGTGGAATATAAAATAGACATTTCTTCAAATTCTAAGGAAGTAATTTCTCTTTCATTCAGTTTTATTTATACAAGGGAGTATTTTTTCCGAGGTTTAATGCTTAAAATTCAACTTGTTTTCTTAAGAGTGTCTTTGGGAATATGAAAAATGAATAGTCAGTTTTCTTCTTAAGGCTTTGCTTATAAAGATGTTGTCTGTAATAAATCATGACAAAAATCAACTGCTCTCATTATTAGCAACCGGCTTTTTCATCTCATTACCCTACTGAATCATTTACCGGGTGGGAATAGACGCAATAGATGATGTCTAAAAACAGTATTATTGCATTAACAAATAAATCATTGGGTTTCGAACCGAGGACCGAGGCAAGCTCGTATACCATTCAGCCACTGAGACCGTGAATTCTTAGTTCCACCAATTCACGATGATTTCCAAACTAGGAAGAAGCAGCTGTCCAGTACTCCCTGGTTTTCAATGGTTCTCTAACTGATATCAATCCATGATGGAAGTCGAAAAAATCGAATCTTTATAAATAAACTCTTGAAAATAATCTGACTGTGTAGGTGGCACAGAGGTGGTGACACGTTACAGGATGGGGTTTCTTAGAGTTATAGTGAGAAGTCATGATCAGTGAAGTCCATTCAGTTGACAGTGAGGATGGATTTCTCATCAATGACATTGGTTCGTGGTCACCCTAAAATCAGGAATTAGTAGGAGTAAGAATTCATGGGCCATTGAGTTGGGTCCCAATTGGCTGAATTTTATAAGAGCTCACCTTGGAACCGGAAGGTCCTGGGTTCGAAACCCAGTGAATGCTTACTGCCGATGATTGCTTGACTTTCAGTGGTTCTCTAGCTGATATCAATCCCTGATCAAACTCTGAAAATAAACCACTACCTAAATAAAAGTGTAACTTATTACCATTCAGCACGATATGTTGTGCTACTTGAAGATTATTAAATTTTCATTTATACAGTATAGCACAATTACAGAGAGACATTTTTACACATAAAAGGACAGCGTCCGGCCCTTGGAGATACTTTATATTGTTTTTAAAGCTAAGAAAACCATAATTTCTCATTCGTGACGAACAGGAATTGTTTTCTTTTTTTGCTCTGGAAGATTTCCTTCCTATTGTTTTATCAAAAAAGAAATTCGCAATTATTATTTTTGTTTATTAGAAACAGTTTTGCAGTGAATAAGATATGAAAACAAATAAGTAAGCAATAATTTTTAATAAAAAGAAGCATTAATACAGTTAAAAATTTGAAATATGAGCCTAGATCGTTGTTAGAAGTAATATGCCTTTCAATACTGAAAAATATACTCATTCCAGCGTTTGTATAGCATGATGAGTCGTGCAAAAAACACTTCATCTGTCCAGTTAGATAATTATTTGGAAATGAAATGAAATGAAACGGAAAGCTTCTGCTTATTGTTCTCTGTGTTAATTATTACAATTGAAATAATGATAAGTATATCACTTGAAGAAGGAAATGAAATTATATGCGCATATAATAACAGGAAATGCGTACTCTGAATGGATTGTTGTCAAAATTGCTAATTTTTGTGAGCTGCAATATTGCAGGCATCCTTCAGCAACAAATATGGCGTCTCTCCTAATATTGGTTGTGTTTCGGTGTCAAAATTTAAGACAGGTATACTGGCTTTAATTAGAAAATGAAATTACACAACAATCTTAAGGATATGAGACTTATTTTAGATACACTGCATTAAATAAAATGTCAATTAAAACAGACAGTTGGTGGTTACCTTGTATTGATTACTTTCTTCTCTGCCCAGTTCTTGATATGCCTTACAGTTTATCGTAGATTGTGACATACAGGTAAAAATATGCGTTGAATTTTATCTTTTGACTCATTAATAACGGTGAAACACTAATACAAGAAAATAATTATACTTGAAATTTCAAAGCATTTTTCAGTTAGTTAGTAAGAAACTTAAACTAACGCAGTTTATATTACTGCTGAAAGATAAGATGAACAAGAAGACTGTAAAAAACTGGGCTTAAATCAGTATTTATGTGGTATCTGACACAGACCCAAAGATTCACGTGCGAAAAACAACAAGTTGGCAGAGAAAGCAGACAGTAAAGGCAGGACTTCAAGTGAATATATATGACTGAGGCGACGAAGGTAACCGACTGTCAACAACAAGTACCAATGGATATCAACGAGTGGCATTTGAAGGAAGTTATCTCTTTCACTCATCCAGGAAGGGGTGTTTCAACTACAGGCGATAGCATAGATGAAGAGATAAAAAAAAGAGGCAGAATCAGAAAGGCTAATCAAACTTCCATTAGTCTGAAATGAGTTTGGAAATCTGATGCATTCAGCATAGGGAATAACACTTGGATTTTCAACACCAAGGTCATGTCCTTGATCCTATATTGTTCACAGACTTGGCGCACGCGTTAAAAAAAGCATTTTCAATAGGCTACCGCAAAAGTTCGTCGTGATCTGCCACCACTGGCTTCACACTAATGTTAAGATGGACAGAAAAGAGTAGCAACATGAAACTCTGGAACCAAACCGATCGTAAACCTATTACCTAACGAATATGTAGGATAAAATGAAGATGGATGGAATACTTGCTTGGGACATCACTGAGTGACGTCCCATGCCATTTACTCGAGTGGAACCTGGATGGGAAGCGTCAAGTTGGGCCTCCCAGGAAGACACTGGGGAGGGTCGTGTGTGGGTGGAGACGGAGACATATGATCTACTTTGAAGTCAATAAAGGGCGGCAGACAATACCGTGAAGTGAATATGTGCTGCTGAAGCTCTTTGTTACCGTCGAAACCTAAGGAATAATAATAATTATCACATCTAACAATATAGGAGTGCTGCAGTTGTTGAGTTTCAAAGAGAGATTTGCAAACTGTCAAATGGTCATTGAAAATACCTTTGAAACAGGTATTAAACAACGAGAACTAAATAGTGCCAGTGATAGCTTTCATTTTGAAGGCAATAAGTAGGTTGGTTAAGATAATCAGAATATGTCATAGTTAGGTTACACTCCAGCCCACTATCTCACACTTCACTTTGTCTAGTTAAAACATTTACAATAAAGATGGCTTCTTTTTAATAATAATAATAGATACACCAATTCAATGGATTTGTTCACTATTATATGAGGCTGCTATTCAAATCAATTGTCAGTGGCATTCAATTTATGCTATGCAGGAGATTTAATGTTTTACACATATCCGTCACTATATGGTGTCAAAAATATCTGATTATTCACATATACTTTTTTGTAAAATATGCATAAACCTTTCTTAACATCAGACAAAACAACTTTATTGCATAAACATTCTAGAATATATAGCCACATTAAAAAAAACAAGATTATCATAACATATCTTTTTATCATTTGTAAAACATAATGGTTTTCATAATTATGTATATGATTTCATTCATGTTTGCAATGAAGTTCAGTGCAGTTTAATTTTACATGGAGTTACTCTTTAGGACATAACGAAAAGAAAGGTCTTTCATTGTGGGGAGAGTCAGTTTTCTTCAATTTCATTCATCACTTCTGTGAGTAGGGACATTCACCTACAACTTTTAGTCAACTGAATCCTCTGGAGGTGTTAATCGAATTAGGTGGAATGAGAAAATAGATTCAAGACAGTATACCCATCCTGAATTAATTAAAAATGACGATGAATAATTGCAAATAGTCAATACTTTTTTTAATCAAACTACAACAGATAATGAATAAGTGGGAGTACTGGACAACTATTGTTTGGGCCCTTCAGCAGTACGTACCCACCTCAGTTCGAACCAGCTGTCCAGTACTATCAGGTTTTTCAATGGTTCCCTAACCAATGTCAGCTCATGATGAAATCCTGTAACCAACCAAATCCCTACAAACCAACACTTAGATAATGAATAATTTCTATTCAGTCTTTGTGTAATATGATGAAGTTAATGGGAAATTGAATGGTTGTAATGAAGCTGCAGTTAGTTTTACTTATCATATTCAGTTGCTCTCCAGACATGTTTGTGGAAATATTCAATTCCTGGTGACAAACATTTGTGAAATCATTTAATTTTAATTAAGTATACAGCAGAGTCCACATTCCTGCATCATTTTTTTATTTCCTTCACATTCCCAGTGAAACATAGGGCTTCAAGCTAGTGGCTTGAAGTTTCTGTAGCAGTGTTTATTTTACAGGATGGGTAGCTAGCCTCATGCCCAAACTTTTCTCTTTACCAGAATTATTTCTGACTTAGTGAGGTAAAGGAGGGCGACGGTCGGAGATCGAACCCCGGACCATGTGCATGGCCGACGAGCATGCTAACCGCTGTGCCACTGACGCACCTGGATCACTTGAAAAAACCATATTATCAGTTATACTGAGGAACAATTATGAATTCAGATGAAGGTATTTACCACTGGACAAATGAACTATATATAATAAACGATTGTGGTTTTCGGCTTTCGGTGTCATAACCTTACTTGCATACTTTAGTATTCTATGAAATAAAACCTTGGCGAATAGCCTTAAATAAATAATTTTCCAAGTCAGGTGTTCTACTTAAGCACTTTATAGTTGTGACCAACAGAATCCACAGAACACCATTCACGCTTAATTTCTAAGATAATAATGGTAATAAAGTAATAACTCTTGTACGATACTCATTATATTTTGCAGCAAACTGTTAACAGTACGAATGTTTAAGTGGAAAGACTTTTTTGTAGAACGTTTAGTGCATATGAACAATTAAAGAGATTATGAAACTTAGAATATACTTGGTGCTGCTTATTTGAGTCTGTCATTCCTTTCCTTTTTTAACAAGGAATTTGTCTAGAATAATACCTTCATATTAGGAACTAGAGTTAACAACTTATTATTGTAATTGTTGAACTTGGGCACTGCGGTTAAATGTAATTCCATGCCAGATAGGTTTATTTTAAATATGTCACAGTGATGCGGTAATGAAAACTGGATGACGTTTCGAGCATAAATTATCACCACTCAAAATCATATCAATTTTAGTCACATGGTTTCACAATTTGTCTTAAATATTTTTTCTCTCTATTCTGTCTCTTCAACTTCCCTTGTTGTTTGTTGCCACTTTCCGTATCTCGGGTATAGGCGGCGTTGTGTCATTTCGATTACATGTGTGCGGCGTTGAATCGATAAATAGAGCTTCAGTGTTTAGCCCTCCTCTCTCTCTCTCTCCACCTGACCATATTACTTTTTAATACTCTCGCCCTGTCTCACTTTATTTTGTGATCACATTCAAGTGAAAGCAATGCAATGGCTGAGTTTTTTCTGAGCTATAGAACAATTATTATATATCTGACTACATGTATTTTGTTCCAATAAACTAGTAGGCTCCGACTTACTAGTTTAAACGCCACCATAAACCAACCAACTCTCTCAGAGATAAACTTTGTTGGCTTAAGGACCCAACAGTTCCAATTAAGAAGAATAACATAGTTTACCAAATAGCATTTAATGGCTGTGAGGGCAATTATTTGGATCAAACTAGTAGACCCCAGTGGCTGACTGATCTATGAGGTTGCCTTGTAACCGGAAGGTCCTAGGTTTAAAACCCGGCGGTGTATACTGCAGAGGATTCGCAAACTAGGATGACACAGCTGTCCAGTACTCCCAGATTTTCAATAGTCAGACTAGAATAATTGACCGTGCTAAGTTAAATAACTCAGAAAAACACTCAGCCATTGCATTGCTTTCACTTGAATGTGGTCACAAAATAAAGTGAGACAGGGCGAGAGAATTAAAAGTAATATGGTCAGGTGGAGAGAGAGAGAGAGGAGGGCTAAACACTGAAGCTCTATTTATCGATTCAACGCCGCACACATGTAATCGAAATGACACAACGCCGCCTATACCCGAGATACGGAAAGTGGCAACAAACAACAAGGGAAGTTGAAGAGACAGAATAGAGAGAAAAAATATTTAAGACAAATTGTGAAACCATGTGACTAAAATTGATATGATTTTGAGTGGCGATAATTTATGCTCGAAACGTCATCCAGTTTTCATTACCGCATCACTGTGAGATATTTAAAATAAACTTATCTAATATGGAGTTAACAACTACTGTTTTACAAATAGTTTTTTCGTTAATTGTAATTACAGTTAGATTTACAAAACTGTACATGAAGATACACTGGAGTTTCATACATCCCACTTGTTTTGTTTTTCTCTACTCCAGCCTACTTTGAAAGATGATTACATATGTATAGAAATGACGTCTAATGTATCCTGTAGAATATTGGCATGATTCTTATTATCCTTGTTATTATAAGTCAGATTTTATTCAGTACGCATACACAAGAAAATATGACCCATCCATTTCAGGTAAGACGAAATAATAAAGTTGTTATTAATGTTGTTTTTTGTTATTCGAAGCGACTGTCCAGTAAAATACACTTAGATGACTTTATTCAATTCATTATTTCGACCGACGACAACGACAATGGTTGGAGTGGCGCTAAATCACTAATTAGCAGAAGTTAGAATTCATGAGTCATTGAATTGGTCTTAGTGGCTGAATGGTATACGAGCTTGTCTTGTAAATGGAGGTCCTGGGTTCGAACTCCAGTGAGTGCGTACTTCTGATGATTTCCAAACAGCTGTCTAGTACTCCCTGGTTTTCAATGGTTCTCTAACTGATTTCGATCCGTGATGAACTCGTAAAAACGTTATAAATACACAATTATTTCAGGGTAAATTGCCCACAAATTCGCCGTGTTCACATTTCACACCAAAATAATTTGGGATATCTTTAATTACTATTGTTGTCAAGTTGCCATCATTTCATCTTTAGGTGTGAACAAGATACACTTGTAGTTACGTGTTATCAAAACCATGATTTTAGGCTAGAATATAAGTCATTTGTTAGTTCCGTAAAGTTTATGAATTACAAAATAAAGATGTTTCCTAGCTACTGTGTGTCGGTGGCGCAGTGGTTAGGACTCTCGCCGACCATGCACATGGTCCGGGGTTCGAGCCCACGCCGACGCACACGAGATATTTATGGTCGGCCTGCGAATTTTGGGCTACCGATATCCACGCTGAAAATTCCATACTTGTACCAAAAATACAGTGTGGAATCAAGCTGTAATCAAAAATCAATCAAATAAAAAAAATCAAATCAAAATCTGTTGGCCAAAAGTAACAGGTTTTAAAAAACTTTAAAATGATCTGCAGAGTATCCACTCAGCGGTATACATAAACGGAAATCTCTGTTTCAAGCCACTTAAAATCTATTTGACTTCAGAGGAGTTCAGCAAATCTGTTTCAAAAAGGGTATTACATGAAGTAGTTGGATGACATATCTAAATTTAATTTTCACTAATGAAATGATATTGTCAAAACTGCAAGGGAATTCATTTTTTATTCAAGAAATCTCAAATTAGCTCAACATGACACAAGATTGACAAAAGGTAACTCAAATTGGTACATTAGTAGTATAGTGGTAGAATGCTTGCCAACCACTCATGTGCTCCGGGGTTCAATCTTCGGACGACGCAATCCCAAAAACCACACCAAGACTATAGTAAGACTGATAAAGAGAGTAGATTTGCGTAAGGCTAACATCTCCATTTTGTAAAAATACAGCAGCTGCAATCAAAAGTTCAAAGCTCTAGCTTGAAGCCGTATGTTCCTTGTGGAAAGGAAGAGAATCAAAAAGACTCAGCTCACTCTAACCGTTTTGAACAGTTTTACGGTCATAAAGATAATCTGTTACATTTAACAGCGCAATATAATATGCCAAAATTAAATTTAGTCAGTGTGAGTTATTACCACACCAAGCATGGTTTAGAGGCTATTCTTATATTCTTTCAAGGAGCATTTACCCTCGACATTTCATAAACTACCAGTAACTATAACGAAAACGCAGTAGATGAAGAAGAAAAACTGTTTCGTTTTTTTTTAAATCAGGAAGTATGTTTCATTGAAAAGTATTAGTAGACGATAAAAAAGTGTATTAAGTTGAATTGATGCTGTAGATGTTTCTATTGTGTGGGAAAGAATGAAGTTTAGTTTCATAAATGTTATCTAAGAACTACTTTGTTATTTTTCTTTTCTCTTTTTGATTAAATGTTTAGATTATTCAACAGACACCTAAAGATCCAATCGACATTTACAAGAATATTTTGCTTAGACACAGAACAGGTTTAAAGTCAAAACAGTTATATGTAGGATACGGTAAGCCACGTTTATCGCATACTTTGTAGTTACGAATTTGTATATATAACATTAAAACTGATATTTATCTTTGAAAGTGGCATGCAATTTAACCTGATAGTATGATTGCAGAAATATTAGTTTTAATCTCTTTGTACTAGTGTGCATAGTGTGCTATTTGAATAAACATGAAATATCCTCTACTGACTTCCTCCTGCGGCTTACAGCTAAAGTAACCAGTAATTTCTTGAGATTAGTTTGATCTGAGGTTATCACATGAAGGTATCTTCTTGAGTGACGTGAGTATCAAGACCCATTTTTTTCCTACACGTTCCCAGTGAAACATAGGGCTTCAAGCTAGTGGCTTGAAGTTTCTGTAGCAGTGTTTATTTTTACAGGACGGGGTAGCTAGCCTCATGCCCAAACTTTTCTCTTTACCAGCATTATTTCTGACTTAATGAGGTAAAGGAGGGCGCCGTCGGGGATCGAACCCCGGACCATGTGCATGGTCGACGAGCATGCTAACCGCTGTGCCGCCGACCATCAAGACCCGTACTTCTGAAAATTATAATTCCAATCATTATGACTACCTACTAATCTGTTTGAAATTGTGGCGGGTTTGTTTTGTAAATTACATTTTGGTGAAAACGTTTCAAGTAGGCAGATAACACATTACTTTTTCAAGTCAGTGGAAGCAAAATAATGAAATAAGTCAATTAGCAAAACATACAATAAGTTTCTACCGAGAACTAACGTAATCTTGATTGAAACCAGTTAAATTTCTTAAAATCCAACACAAAAATAATACAGGTTATAGAATTAATGAGGATAATTTTTAGGTAGAGACTAGATGAGACAAAGTCTTCACAAAGATCACAGTCTACTGAATATATTCCACAGCAGAGCTGCCAAGGTAGGTTAACAATGATACTAAGTATTCTGTGCAAATAATGGGGCTTCATTTTACAAATACTTATTTACTTGGTTTCCTGAGTAGTCAAATTATATTTTTTGATACAGTGAAATACTGGATTCAGAATTTAACATATTATGTACATAATAACATCTTTATATGCGCATATATATGCATATTTTGATTGGACACTAGTAACTAACTTGTGTGATGTGTCTAGTCGTTTTTTTGGTGCAGACTGAATTCTATCAGTCAAGTTTGCAATGTGGCCGCCATTCGAGGCAGCTCACCATCACCGTGCACTTTTAATTGTTGGTATTACATGGTTGCAGAAAAACGACAGGAAGCATTGGACCTAGGTTTCGTGCTAGTTGGCGGTCGTCAGCAATGTGCACCGTGATGGCGAGCTACCTAGAATGGTGGCCAGATTGCAAACCTGACTGACAGAATTTCCACTAGTTACTAGTGCCCAGTTAAAGTATCCAGTACAGTCCTACAGGAGCTCAAATGCCAGCCCGAATAGCTCATTGGTAACGTCTCTGACTGCAACACTTGGTGGCGTGGGTTCGAATCTCAGAAGGGACATGAGTTCGTTCAAATTTGCTGTTATGCCTTGATGACTGGTAAGTGCCAGCTAGCACGAAACTTGAGTCCAAGGCTTCATGCTGACTGCTTCCAACCGCCTAATATAAATGTACACAATACAAATAAATTACTTTTTCACGATGTAAAACTATGTTCTGATCGTTTTGGTAAGTACCAGTGAAATTCTCTGTCTTGACCTTTAATCAACGTTAAAGCTAAGTATTTCGTTTACATATCACGTGAGAGACCCGAACTTTTAATAAGTAACCTGATCGAAAGATATCGTCGATTTTTCCGTGATAAATCTTATAGAATTTGAAATGTAGGTTTATGATTAATCTTAGAATCACTTCATTGAGGATAACAACTGTAATTCCAGCGTTAGTCAACTTTGTTATTTAACTGCTGACAGAAGAATTCCAGCAACGCTAGTGGTGGTGAATAATAGTGAAACATTCGCCATTTAAATTACCATCATCTACATAAAGAAAAATTCAGATTGATTTACGATGTTTTATATAAAGGTTGTAGGAATCGAACTAGCTACTTCGCCAGTCCATGAAGAAAGCAAATCATGTGTATAAAGCTGTATCAAGTGAGAGCGATAGCTACTTCATTTTAGACAAACTGTACAGTTTCAAAGTGCAAATTCTAGATAATGCAAGAGACTTATACACAACTTCACAGATTATTCCTTTTTTAGGGTTATTGAGAGACCGGAAGAAGCTAGATTCATGGTAGGCGAATCATGTGAATCATGCGGAACCTGAAAGAAACAGCCTCCTTCACCTACCTATGCGTCATTGGCACAATGATTAGGACTCTCGACGACCATGCATATGGTCCGGGGTTCGAGCCCACACCGGCGCACACCAGATATCTATGGTCGGCCTGCGAAATTTGGGCTACCGATATCCACGCTGAAAATTCCGTACTTGTACCAAAAATACAGTGTGGAATCAAGCTGTTACCAAAAATAAAAAAATAAAAATACCTAGGAAGCATCGTTTCAACTACAGGCGGAACTGATGAGGATATCAAAGCCAGAATCGGAAAAGCAAGACAACTTTCATTACTCTCAAATCTGTGTGTAGGTCAACAGCACTCAGCATCAAAAATAAGACCGGATTTTCAACTCCAGCGTGAAGTCAGTGCTACTATACGGATGAGAGACTTGGCGAGTCATAAAGAGCATCTCGAACAAACTTCAGACCTTCATTACAGCTGTCTTCGCTCAATACTCCACTCAGATCAGATGGCCGGCCAGAAAACATCAATAACAGGGATCTCTGGGAGCGAACCAATCAGGAACCGATTGTGAAACAAATAGGCAGGAAGAAATGGAGATGGATTGGCTGGCCATACTCTGAGGAAACAAACCATCAAGTGGCATCACTAGACAAGCCCTCGAGTGGGACCCGAAAGGGAGGCGGTGAGTTGGTCGTCAGTTCAAGGGTGACTTGGAGGAGGTCATGCGAAGAGGAGATGAAAGCATGTGGACAGACCTGGAGCGGGGTGAAAAGTTGTCAGTAAACAGAAGGCAATGGAGGTGCGCAGCTGAAGCCCTATGTTCCTCTAGGAACTAAAGGATACAATAATAATAATAAATCATGTGAGGATCAAAAAGCAACTCGAACGGAGTATAGAATGGCAGTCAAACCGAAATTTCAAACGAAATTTAAAGAGTCCTTCAGCGGCGCTGACCGTGAAGTAATTTGGAAAGTGCTTCAGCACTATGGAGTGCCCAAAATCTTTATCAACCTCATTCAACAACTGTATGACAATGCCAGATGTCAAGTGATCCACAGCAGAAAACTCAAAGAATCATTCCATACAGTGAAAGCATGAGTATGACTAGGTTCTTTATTATCACTGATGATATTCCTAATTGTGATGGAGTGGATTTCGTGGAATATTGTGAGTGGTTTAAAGAGAGGAATACGTTAGATTGACAAGAAGACTCTAGAATATATGGATTATGCGAATGATGTAAGCCAAATGCCATACAAACTCGAAGAATTGTAAATGGAAACCAACAGGTTGCTGGAAGAAGCAGATATTGAAGTCAGGACGTTAAGACGGAGGTGATGAAGCTAATTAACCAACAAAAACAAGAAGCCCCAATTAATATCAACAGAATAAATCTGAAAGAGGTCACTTCCTTCAATTATCTAGGCAAAATCGTTTTAGCTACTGGTGACAGACCATATGAGTATGTCAACATCAGCCTGGATCGAAAAGGCAAGACGCCTATTCACCACTCTGAAATCCGTTTGGAAATCTGCGTTTGGCATCAAGAACGCAGTGAGGACTTTCAACACCAGTATCAAGTCACTTCAGAAACTTAGAGCGCGTTACGAATGGCATTTCTAATAGGCTTTGGGCTTTTATCAACTGCTGTCTTCGCTGGCTTCATAGTGAAGAAAGTCTGGAGACGATCAAACCAAGAACCTACCACCCAGATAATGTACCGGAAGGAGATTGATTGAACATACACTGAGAGGACCACTGACTAAAATCACGCGCCATGTTCTTTAGTAGAACCGGAATAGAAAACGGCTAGATGAGATTTCGAGGGTGACATGGAGAAGATCGTATGAAAGGGGGATGAGGGACTGTGGGCATGCTAGGGCTAGCTAAAGAAAACCTCACAAAATTGGAAAAAGTGAAAATTTGTTGGTGAAGTCCTATTTTTTACTCCGAACTCAAGGGAATAACAATAAGAGATTTTTCAAAGCTACTCAGCCTCCCTTTGGTTTTTGGAGTTTTTTCATCCTGCAGGGGGGGGAATCCTCTTTGTACACTAATACTACACCTTCTTAGTATTCAGCCTACTTGCTGTGATTCTTTCATCCTTTCTTAATCTGCTCAAAGCTTCTGTTCTACTTATTCAGTAGGCTATTGGTGGAATAATTTTAATTTTTGTACAGCTGACATCTGATGATCATCAACAATAAGTATACTCATTCATGTTTAAAATTGTTGATTAGAGTCTTGTATAGACAGAAAGAATAATTTTGGCTTATGTCCTATTTCAACGAAAATGGTACATTCAAAGTGGATTCATTTTCATTGCGTTGCCGATTGTGCAATCAAGGTGGTATTGTTATACCCACTGTTTTAGTTTTCGATAAACATTGTTTCTAGCATTCATTGCCATTTCTTTTCAGCGACCTTAATGCGAGTGTAAGAAAACACATAACCAAGAAGAATAATTTATCTTTAATTTCAGATAATACTCTCGATGTGATACAACGTGGTTCAAAGAAAATAAATAAATTCATTCGACCACGTCCCCATAGATCAGTGCAAAACCACACTGAGAGTTTGAAGCCAACTCCTTCCTACACAATAAACAAGACAGAATTACATTTCCTAACGTTTAAAGAAGCTGAATGCTACTTGCATAATCCAGCTGTACATCTGTATGAAAAATTCAGTCTACAATTTTCCTTTCGAACATCACAGGAACACGGTTTATTGTTATTTAACTCTAATAAACAAGGTGTGGACTTTTTAGCCTTTGAATTAATTAGAAGCTATCTGTATTTAGCATTCGATATGGGAAGTGGTACACAACATTATGCAATGACAACATATGCTGTAAGTGATTCCAAATGGCATCACGTTGAACTTATAAGGTGAGTTAATGAAATCCAGGGTATTTGAAAAAAAATCGTGTTCCTTTAAGTACAAGGCAATATTTTGTTCTTAGTTTGTTCATTTAAAATCTTTTAAAGACCAGTGAGAATAAATTCACAACTTCAAAACTCGGCGACTGGGTCACGTTTGAATGGCTCATAATAGTCGTTTCTCAGCATGTTGTGGCTGTCATTTAGTGTCACTAATTGTCATCCATTCGTTCTTTCATACACTAATAGCTCTAATATCTATAAAGGAATACATTTGATAAATAAATCACGTTTCGCAGTATGGGTAAAGGGAGTGTGAGGCTTAATAACCACAGGAGTTGACGAAAACATAAAGGAATAATTTCACTTCGTGGCGCTGATATTGTGTAATTGAGTGGAGAGTTATACCTCCGTGGAAGAGACGGATGTTTAGATAACTTTATAAATGAGAGACGTAAAATGGTGCAAAGAACCTCGTAAATTAATATTTGAAATCTGAATTCCCGAGTTATTCCACAGTGAGGCGGTGAAAATGTTTTATTTCAGTTAACTTACATCTTATGAAAGAGAATAGTAGTATCCATTTTGTTATTATTATGAAAACGCTAAATGACTTCTTGTGTATACAGAATCTCTGATACTAGGCTGTGAGTCATATATCGGTTGCTACCGGAACACAAAGTGAAATGAAGTGAAGCTATAGATGGAAAAGGAGGCAGACATAGGAATGAAAATCCGTTAGTTTCGGGAAAGTTTCAGTTATGCTGCTTACATTCTAAGTGAGTCGCTTCCTCTTTTCTCTTGTCACATCTAGTCGATGCCGCGATTACACTGATATTGGCCATACAGGAGATAATTTAGTTGCTCTACTCTTCTGAACTTATAACAAACTTTCCGAAATTTTCTTCTGTAAGCAGCAATATTGTGAGCTGTCGTATCTGTTTTCATCATTATTTTGTCGCTGATGTATGAAAAACTATCCGATTACACTTTTTATCACAGTTATCCCATATTTTAAATAACATAAATATTGAGTTAAACAACTTGTTTAAAGTAAATCTTCACAGTTATATTGGTATCATGTTGAATGCAAATTGGTTTCGAAAGTCTAGGGGGGTATTTACGCTGCAAGACCACTTTCAAATGAATTCCTGAAAATAGTAATGGTGAATTCTTTCGTCACTTTACAGTCAGCCTGTACAGTAACTGTTTTCCCATCAGAAGATTGCGAGTAATTACCAATTTACTTGAGGTTCCTTTCTGAAAGCTTTCATTGCGTTGGACTTTACAAAGAAGTTTGTGGTAGTATATTATTAAAATCCATTTCAGTGTTAGCAGACATAAAAAGTGAAATCTAACGTCACCAGCAATCGTGTCATTATAATTGTTTATTGTCTTATCACTAGTTAATTTTATCCGTTGTTAATGCGATTAGTAGTGAACCAATGATTCGTTTATGTTCCCAGGAGAACATAGGGTTTCAAGCTAGTGGCTTGAAGTTTCTGTGGCACTGGTGACTATTTTTACTGGATGCGGTTGCCAGTCTCATGCCCAACCTTCCCTATTTACCAGTCTAACTACTGGCTTAGTGAGGTAAAGGAGAGTGTCGGCCGGAGATCAAACCCCGGATCACCTGCGTGGTCGGTGAGCATTCTACCTCTGTGCCACCGACGCACGAGTAGTAATTTACATACGCCCCAAAGGAGCAGTGAGTTACTGGGTGATGTAATATTGTGAAAATACACTACATCAACTATTGATCTCCTTAAACCTAAAAAACGCTGAGAGCAAAAATATTTAATGTTTAATGGAAATTATTCAAATTTAAGTTTACTAACTGAGACAAGAAACTGAATGCATATATAACGAGGAATTTTCAAATCCTGTTTCTAATTGTACTAAAATGCAAGCCTGATAACACAGTCGACTTGACTATCTTTAATAATGATAGTCACGCATAGACATGTACTTTAAAGAATATATTTCCCACCATTCTATAAATTCTAGAAGTATTATTAATTTTCTTAATCATGCCTATATTGCTCACTAATTTTGACAGCATCTATTAGTTTTGTTAGGTTTTATATAGAAAGTATGATGAAAATATAAGATATATTTTAGTACAAGCATAGTTTCTTTTGCTGTTATATGCTATCAAGTGGATTTCTGATTGCCGTGATAAATGTAGGAGATCCACCTGGTATTAATCAAAATATAATTGAATTCATCTACTAAATTTACCAGAGAGTGGAACAAGTCTTGTTCATTTCAGATGTTAAGGCAAACAGAAGATATATGTATTTATATATAAGGAAAGAGAGAGTGAGTGAACCAGAAAAAGTGCTGTTTGCAAAACTTTCGATAAATGAAAATTCAACTAATCACACTAAAGTGGAGAACTGTTTCAGTCATGTAGGTCCACTTATTGGCTGTACTGGTAATCAGGACGTACAGTTTTCAATTTGTCAGCCATATAAATCTACACCTAGGGACATATGCTAATGTTTTTTTTTGTAAGGTAATTGGAACAAACGTCACCATTGGAAACATCAAAACATTGTTGAAGAAACACGTTACAAGTGAGACAATATATTGCAACCCAACCACTCACGATTTTCGGATTTCTTACATTCTCGATATAACTAATTACATACTCATAAAGAGATAACTAGTGATTTCCACAAAATTGGTTATCCAGTCACTTACTCAATGATTGCTTACTGATATCAGTGGGAAGAAATACAACACCGGTGTTTTTGGCTTACTATCAAATTCATAAGTCAGGCTTCTCCCTTGCACTGGTCCGTTCTCTGAGTAACTTGTATTCTAAAATACTTTTTGAATATATTTATGCTGATTTTCAGTACTATCTTTAAATCATCAAATTAAGGCACAAACTATCTTTGGGTGACATATTTTATTATTTGTCTGATAATTCTATACCAAGATATATTTCACCATGAGGTGATATCGGTTAAAGAACCATCTGAAAACCTTGTGTACTGACGCGTTTTTCGTCCCAGCTCGGGACTCTTCATCAGTAAGCACCCACAAGGGTTCGAACGCAGGACTATTGAGCCACTGGGTCCAGACTCATTGGCCCATGAATTTCATGGTTTACTAGATCGTTTTGTAACCGGAAGTCCTAGATTGGTACCAGAAGCCTCGGTGGGTACGTACTCTTGAGGAATCCCAGCCTAGTACGAAACAGCTGTTCAGCACTCTCAGAGTTACCAATGGTTCTTTAACCAATGTCAATCTCTGATGAAATACTAAGACCAATCAAGTTTCTGCAAATCAACACTTGACTAAGATAAAGACTGAATATTATTTTCCCTTATAGGATGGATCTTGAAAATAATACTCTTCAACTGTACATCGACAGAAATACAATCACAGAACAATCTATTCAAATTCCAGTGGTTAATGGGGATAGTTCAAGAAACTTCAATTTAAATGATCCACTTTTTATTGGAGGGACTTCACAACATGTTTTCTTGAAATGGAGAGAAAAAATAAGCTCATATCATGGATTTCAGGTATTTTCAGTTTTTGGCGTAATTATTAATGTAATAATGCTAAGCACAAGAAAAGTTACATATATATAAATATACAGAGCAATTTTGGTATCTTAGTTAAAAATCTTTCTTAAAATGAATTTTGACATCAGTGAGTCTATTAAACTGCAACCATATATTGTTGAAGCATGTTGGAAGGCATTTTAGAGTGTACGATTGAAGGTTAAGATGAAAAAAATATTTTGCCTTAAAATTTTGCCTGTCACTGTGGTAGGTTTGCAGAAAGGAAATAGCATGAAAACGCTCCATTATTGTACACTTTGTTTACAACAATGTAGTCTGATAAAAATATCTTTTACAGACAATCATTTGTCTTTTATAAATTTCATTTCATATTAATTTTTTATAAATTGTGGTATCATTATGTCGCCAAGACTTATATTCATCCATCATAATATTGAGTTTGCATAGAAGGTGGAAATGAATAGTTTTCTAAAGGATTTCTGTCGGTGTATTATACATCCTAAAAAATTTCTTTTAAAAGAATTCAGACTTCAAAGTTTTCCTTCCAAAAACTGAATGATAGAAAATTTCTAAACTTTTGATGACGAAGGTACTCATAGAGAAAGAATAATTTTTCTCTGGTGGATCCTTGCCTTTTGGCGAAGTCTTTCCACTTTCGAAGAGAGAGAAGCGTGTCCCACTCGTAAGATTTAGATATGATAGAGAAGATTTGTAGCTCAGGTGGATGATCTTGATGTGGTTGTGTGTTGTGTGAGCTGGGTAGTTAGTTTGCGAAGCTTTCATCGCCCTACTTCTAATTGAAGTATGTGCTGAAGATGTCGACTAGTAGAATGATGAAAGCTTCGCTAATTAACTATCCAGCTCACAGAACACAACCACATCAAAATTTCTAAACTGTAAGTATATTTCATTACTAACCAACATGAAACAGAGAATTATTGAAAAAACTACGAATCATTGAATAGGTATTGTGTCCTAGTTTGGTTAGTCATCAGTAGCACACACTCAAGATCTTATTTTAGTTGGAAAACTATACTCTCACAAAATGAAGTGCTTGAATTTAATCGTCTGTGAATTCTTGCTCTTATCGGCTATTGATATCCATTTAACTAAATCAAAGTCTCCAAAATCCTTGAAATTCGGAATGTTAGCACTAGAAGCTATACATCATCAGACTGTTAGAAAATATTTCAGGGATATCCTCATATAAATGACAACTCAGAAGCTTATTTTTGAAGGAATACGAAATGCACAGTGTTATCTGGGAGTAACATTTCCAAGCAAGTTGGATAAGGTACATGATACCAATTAATATTTCTCAGGTGGCTGTATCAGGTGTAGTATTTTAGACTGACTTATGCAGGTGAGAACATGGAAATCACGCAAAACTCTGGTCTCTTAAATGTGAACTTCATATATGGAAGCAAATGTAGGCCTAAAAACTGGTGGAAATTAATGCAACAGTAAAAGTCTTATAAATATTACGCAGTAAATTTTAGTAAGCTATTATTTCAGTTGAATATTTATCTTAAGTTTATTTATTGTTAAAAATACCCAAAAAAGGTTTAAGGTAGAATACGCTGGCTATAAGAGAAGTAGCCAGCTCATAGATGTGCTGCAGCAACCGACAACCATCAGTAAAAGATGACGATACCAATTTGACCGAAACTGGTAAATGCTAACTAAAATACCTGATCTCAACTAGTTTAAACTGTACTGTGCCCAGACGAATAGATGCTTGAGATTTTGTTCTCACGTCTACTCATTGTTATCAACATGAACAAAACAGCCGTAGGTTCCTCCATGTTTGAAAGAGAACTTGCCGATATTAAAATGTGACTGCAACTGAGTTAGTGTTCCCTTTATTGAGCACTATTTAATCTTTTTTATGCAGTATTGACATATATGCAAAAATTTATCTATAACCCAATTTTATAATTCTTCATAACTTCTCAGACTTGGGTATATACCTAATTCCCAATAGTTTGAATTGTAACGACATTATAATTATTTATATACGCTAAGACAGGGTCTCTGATTTTTCTAAAGATTATCCACGTCAACGCTGAAAGGTTTACTTACTGAAATGTCATATTAGAGGAAACGTCAATCTTAATATCAACTACCTTCACTGCATCATTTTCTCCTTCTTACAATCAGAGGAATGAACTTCCTCTCGTAAGGATTTATTTTAAAAATTGGCATAAATGACATCTTTACAACGATTTTTATGATTTTGTACAGTTTAAAATTAATTCATGACTAGATTGAAGGTATATCAAATCAGTGAAAGTAGGTTTTAAGTCATTTATTATATTCTTAATCGTTTCTCAGTATTTGGAAACTTCACTTGCATAGTTCTACATTTCCTAAATAGCCGTCTGAATTAGAGAAATTCTATAGAAACTTTAGTAAGTAGCCTCTTCCAAATTATTGTCATTCGGTTCTGTTGGCTGAATGGTTTAACTGAGAAGTTCAAGTTGCCTCCCTGTACTATTTCAGTGCCAAGTTTAGAAATGAAGTTGACTCCTAATGAGACAACATTATATGTTTATTTGAGTTTGGGAACATTCGAAAAAGTCCATAGAAGTAATCACGTGGTTGGTAACTAGCAGTAACTAGCAGACAAGAGCCTAATACTCATCTTTTCAAATGCGATGTTGTCCGGTGGATAACGCTTTTGCATTTCAAACGTTAGTCATGGGGTTCGTGTCTCAGTGTAAACACCATCACTCACTGAAGAATTCAAGTACACCTCGCCGATGTGCATCAAACAGAGCTAAGTGAGCATCCTGGTTTCCACTACTAGTTACCACCCACCAAACTACTTCAAGCCAATCCTCAGACATATTAAAAACGTCCATATTAGTAGCTGACATGTTTGTAGGGGCAGAGCATCTTGGTTCAGGGAATCAGCGGAGTAATCAAAAGCGAAGTAAAAGCAAATAATAGTCTGTAGAAGTTGATCAAGTCTGCTAAAATTTTTCCAGCAGAGATGGTCTAGACATCTAAATATCGCTTCATGTTTCACTTGTGGTATCAGCAGCCCAACCCGGAAACATTTCCTACTATTGGTTCAGTCATACCCCTTACCAATAAGTTCCAACAACCTTTCTGAAATTCGTTCCCATTAGTGACGTTTACTTTGGAATTTTAACAGTTCAGTGATTTTATCAGATGATATTGTGCCCTACTTCCAAAATTATTTCTGTTCCCCGCAATTTACAAATTGATTGACAATTAGTAATGTACACAGTTTGAAGAAGCAAAATCCCATCACAGTTTCCTTTGGAAATCAAAGCCATTCAGATCACAATATGTCATCTGCTTGGTACCATAAATTTAAATCAGGAAAGCAAGTATGAATGCATAACGCTAAATACTACTGATCGGTTAACATGAGTAATTGGATTCCACTCAAATCAACCATTAATGTTTGCTATGCAGATTGAATTGATCTACCTTTGTTAAATAAGTTGATTCTCGAAACAACTCGATACACATGTTTGTTAAGGATTTTCACTAATCTATTCAGGTTCCTGTATTGACTGTTTTTACTTATCGTCTGCTGATAAAAGTGATAAAAAACCAATTTTTTATTGGCTGTGGACTTCTGACAAGTGCCCAAAGAAACTTAATAAGTTGGTGACCTTCCTGTTAACCTTTTTTAACTTCAAACACTTTAGAGTTTATTAGCACATCAAAGTGATAGTATAACCTCTGCATCGTTTTTAGATTGTCCACTTTATTGAATCCCCTCTACATTTTACGCTCTACGTTTTTTTACATTCAGGGATGCTTGAGCAATTTCTCCATAAATGGATTGCCTCCTTCCGATTTGTTGAAATTGGCTAAGTCAAAATATGCTATGAATTGGACTATTCCTATGTGTTACGACCAGATTGTTCCTGGATGTCTTGATCGACCTAGTACAGCATTGAGCTGTAATGAAATAGGACGCTATCAAAACGACACTACAGCAAAAGAAAAGAGTACAGATAAAATAATCTTCAAGAAGGAATCTACACCTTATTGCTTAAATGATGGAATCTGTTTACATTCTTGGACAACTGCGAAATGTGCCTGTGAACTGACTACGTTTGATGGACATAGATGTATGAAAGGTAAGCAGAAATAAAGGTGACTTTCACGCAACCTGGGGTACTTTCAACTTAGTAGGAAAACTTCGTAGGAAAAGTTGGATCCTTAATGTAAACATATACTTTTCCCATGTTACTGGGATAGAATGCTGCATGCAGCCTGCGGCAAAATTATTCGTATTGTAGATACATGAACATTAATAACTATACCTTACGTTTGACTTATAGTATGTCTGATTATCTTAGAGACCAGCCTAATAAAGCTTTTTAAAGAAACTTTATGCCTAGATGCGAATGTGTAGTGCATGATGATAGAGTAAATACCTGTGAAGTAACCAAATATTAATTGACTCGGAATTAATTATGAGTGGCTGAGGACTAGGAATATCTGTGTTACTTATTCACAGTATGACTGAAGAACTGAATACTCTTATCTCAAACGGAAGCCACAGAAGACAGTCAGAAAAGCAAGACGAATTCTTCTTGATAAAAAGGTAAGTGATTTAAAATCACAAGTATCTAAGAAAATTAGCAATAGCCTAGGTTAAGACCGAATATTAAGTCCACGGCTTTACTGGACAACACCAACTAATAACCTATCTCCCCTTCTTCCTGATAACTTTCGCTACTACAATATCTCTTAACCTTCTTCATCTAACACTTAAATCTGTTTCTACGGGAACTATGGGATTTATGAATGCTATTTTGTTCTGTTATGATTAGCCTCCTTGCTGTAATCTTCATTTAAACTATTGTTACTCTTTTTATTTGAAAATGTATTGCACAAATAAAGTAGTTTATTCTTCTTTTCAAAATTTAGAAGAATTAGTCCATTTTATAAATTTGGAAAGTGTTATTAGGAGAAAACTGTTTTGAACAAATTACCATATAACGGGGAAATCAACAATAGGATTTTTGAGACAAAGGTTGAATTCGGTCATCCATAGGACCTATTATGCAGCCCGGCCTGTAATTACCGGAAAAGCCAAAAATATGCTCCACTTCAAACCTCAAAAGCGCACAAATGATTAGGTCACATTTCACACTATTTACCAACTTTTGTATGTGTGTGTGGACACATATATTGAGAGGAGTAATCGTGCTTTGCATATAGGGGTGAGAGAGCATATCCCGAAATGGTTAGAAAAACAAATAAATTGTGGAAAACCAATAGACGCAGGAGTCAGATTACCAACATCGTCTGTACCCAAATACCTCAACACCATAACCCATAAGGCTGATGTTGACAGAGCCTTTAATATCATCTATAAAAAGGGTAAAGGATGCTTATTGAAATAAGCTGAATCATAAACTTAAACGCCCTGTGTATTCAAAAACAGTTTATTATTACTATTAACCTACCTTATTATTACATTATTTCCTTTAATTCCTAGAGGAACATAAGGCTTTAGCCTCACGTCTCCATTGCGTTCAGTTTTCCGCGGGAGTTTATACCTAGCTCCAAGTCTGCCCACATGCTTTCATCTCATCTTCACATGAACTCCTCCAAGTCACCTTACCCTCGCACTGACGACCAACTCGCCGCTTCCTTTCGGATTCCACTCGAGCTATGGCTTGTCTAGTGATGTCACTTGATGGTTTCCTCAGAGTATAGCCAATAAACCCCCATTTCTTCCTGCCTATTTGTTGCACAATGGTTCCTGCTGGGTTGGTTCGCTCCTAGAAATTCCCCACTATTGCTGATCTTTTCTGGCCAGCCATCTGATTTTGAGTATTGAGCGAAGGCAGCTGTTAATGAAGGTCTGAAGTTTGTTTGAGATGCTCTTTATGACGCGCCAAGTCTGACTTCACATTGAAGTTGAAAATCCGGACCTTATTTTCATTTTCAGGCTGAGTGCTGTTGACCTCCATACAGACTTGAGAGTAATGAAAGTTTGTCTTGCTTTCCTCGTCAGTTCCGCCTGTAGTTGAAACGATGCTTCCCAGGTAGTTGAAGGAGGCTATTTCCTTCAGGTTCCTCCCATTTATGTTGGCTGATTGTTGTCTGTTGTTGTTGTTTTCGGCCGGGAATCTTCATCACCTAAGTTTTTTTATGTCCACCTGAAGTCCTATCTTCTCTGGATGCTTCTTCTGCCAACTTGTTGCTTTTCACTTGCATATCTCCCAGTTTGTGGGAAATCAGACATATATCATCGGCGAAGTCCAGATCCTCCAAGTTTTTTGTGTGGGTCTATTTTTTGCTTGTTTCCTCATTGCCCACTGCCGCTCTGTCGCATTATCCAATCTACTGCAATCAGGAAGATCATTGGTGACAGTAGACAGCCTTGTCGCACTCCCGTCCTCACTTCGAAGGCTTCCGTAAGTTTCCCGTTGTGGATTACTTGGCATGCAACACTGTCGTATAACTGTTGGATGAGATGTATAATTGTCGATGGGACCCCGTAGTAGCGAAGTAGTTGCCAAATCACCTCTCGATCGGCGCTGTCGAAGGCCTTTCAAAGTCGATGAAGTTGAGATAGAGAGGTGACTGCCATTCCAAGCTCTGTTCAATGATGATGCGTAGAGTGGTGATTTGATCAATACATGACTTGTTTCTCCTGAATCCAACTTGTTCTGGTCGAAGTTTTCCATCCAGGATGGCGTGTTTGATTCTCTCCAGGATGATGCTTGAGATGGACCTTAACCTACCTTGGTAATGCTAATTTGACTGGATTATCAAATGTTGTGTTAAACACTCTTAAATCTTTTTTTGTCATTTTCTTAAATTTAATTGGGTACATACATACATATACATCGACTTGAGAAGTAAAAGTGTGATCAAATTGTTCAAAATGTATAGCGCAAATACATCACAATTTTGACATAATCTCTGTCTTCTATTAACACTATCCATATTCAATAAGTTCAAATTTACATTTCACATACAAGCTTCAATTATAGCAGTTACATTCACAGATAAGCATGAGATAAGAGTACTTTGAAGGCATAACTCAGTACTTATTTGCAAGACTGTATTTAAGTACGATTAACAAATATGGTAGAATGGAAAGGTAATTACTAAGGGCATACACCATCGAACAGTCACATTTTAAAGAAAGACTTCCAAGCCATACTTTAGTACTGGTAATGTTGAAATGTATCATCTAAAGTCTTCAGACACAGATTTTATTTGCCATACTATTATTTTCTCTTCTTCACATAGTTCAGTAAGCACAGGTCTCCTACAAACGACACGTGGGTTATTTCTTTAATTCGTTCAGAGTCAATAGATCGCTGGCTTATGCATGCGACTTTCATCCAGAGGGTTCGAACCCTTCTTTCCAACTACCTCAGACTAATCGACGGGATAGTATCACTAACCACAACATGATATAAGTGAATTATAGGCTGGTACCAGCTGAATAATTTCTGTGTTTAACAATCACGTGATCATTTTAACGTGTCGTAGTTTAGTACTCTAATTGGACGTGCCTCAAATCCCATTGGTGGATAAAATCCAAGCATTCCTTAAGCAATTAATCCGTCGTTAATAAAATAATAAGTGAGTTGTTTGCAGACAATAAGGAAAAATCACTTTAAGTTGCTAGTTAATGAATTCTTTTATGATATTCCTTATATATATTTTCACATATGACCTACTGAAAATGCTGAGTGTTATTTCGTAAACGCCTAGTTAATAATGTTCACTCCATTTCTACAGTTGGAACTACATTTAAATTCGGCTCCATCAATGAAGATTTATCTGCATACGTCAGCTTATCGAGTGTGAACAAGACAGTAAATAGTGAAGATGATGTAGGATACCTACGCATAATGTATAAAGACCGTGTCAGAAATACAAGACAAGATGAATTTATTCTTGGCATTCAGACATTCCCTACAGAAGACGGTGTAGAAACGGAACAAAATCGTTCATCTACCATATCAACCTTATTGTTTATTACGAGTTCAAATCAAATAGGTGATTTCATTCATTTATTTCTGGTATGTGATTCATGTCCGGTACTGTATATATTTGAACTATTATTAATTATTGCAGACATGATGGCAAAGACTCAGAATTTCGGTCTAGTGTGGTCTCTCAACAGAAAATTCGGAGTGACTTCAACAAGTAACATCTAATAGACATTACAAAAGTGGTGACTCCTGTGACTCATTAGCCCTGTGGATTGCTCTTCCATATTTATAACCAGGGGTGCTGGGTTCCAGTCAGATTAGGGAGGAGGCACATAAGACTGACAAGTGTTTAATATGAGGAAAGAAGTGTCCTCGATTCGGCTGCTAGGTACCAGCAACTAAATCAAATTACTGATGGCAAGTGAATGGAGTGGGAGAACACATAGAAGATAAGATCCTTTCTTACTAATGAACCGTTTAGCTAACCGGTTAAAGTATTCTTGGTGGGAATATCAAATAATTCAACCCATATCCATGAACAACTTCCGGTATATGCATATACTCCTGAGAAAAACACCGCCTAACTGACGCTGATTTAGTGTCATTCAAGTTCTGATATTTTATTTGCTCTTTATTATCAGGCTCATAAAAAAACACTATGAATAAAATCGTAAGGAATCTTATCATGCTTGTATGCTGAATGTAAACATTCGGTCTCCGCCATCTAGAGCATCTAAGCCGTCAACGATTGTATAACGCTATATTCACCACATTCATTTAGCAACTGAGTAATATTCAGCCTATGAGCTACAACGCTTTTAAAAATAAGTCTTATCGTTATTTAATCAATGTGTAATGAATACTGCAACCATCAAAATTTTAAATAACTACTCTTTTTGTCCATAAATAAAACTTTAAATGAATTACAACTAACTAATTATTCAAAAACTAACAGAAATACTTCCTGATATTCCAGTCAGGATGATGCTGGAATGATGATGTTACGAAACATAATATATAATGCTAAAGATTCTTTGGATTGGTCACTCAATGGATTGCGGTACTACCAAGATGACTTACTGAATGTGGGCAAACAAAGAAGCTACTGTTTCAGACAAAGCACAATTTGCTGCGTATTTATTTTTTACGAGGCAAATGCCATAAATGAATGAACAACTTCATCCTAAGTTACAAGTTATAATCGTCCAAATCGTTTTATTTTCTTTAACAATATATTACGTAATCAACGTTTGCACACGCTTATTCCTAAACTGCTCTTCATTCTTTCAAAATTATGCATTATGCAATCCACGCGTTGCAGCAATTTCTACCTTTTAATTGTGTCTGTTAAGTTTCTTCGTTAATCACCACCCCGCTGATATACTGGCACTGACTAATTAATGTTAACAAACATATCTCCACTTGATTTACAAATTGCTGTGTATTGTAATAAAAATGCTATCTATATTAGAATATAGCCAGAGATGAAAAGTAAATATTTCTTTGCATAATCCTGCTTTCTCGCAAACTCGAGATAATCAGATATATGTTTCGTTCATGTATGTAACTCCTCGAAAATAGCCCTAACAGCCATGAAAGAAGTTGAATCCATCTCTTTCAAGGTCGTACGAAGGAAAAATTCCGACATGAATACCATTTTCTCATGATTCTAAATTAGAAATTTAGCGGCTCCACCGGTTAACTTTTAACTTATTGATATATAAACTTATTTTAAGTTTAAAGACATTTCAATCCCTTTTAACAATTAAATTCATCACAAGATTGGCAAAATAAGCGGTATATTTAGATTTTTATTCTGAAGATAATTTTTAAAACTATTTGATTTCCAGTGAGGTAAACATAATTCTTTATGTCACTCTGTTTTTCTTACTACCTTCGGTTTTCTTGAACAATTGTATTTCACTTCAGGAATCAGGTACAGTACATTTGAACTACGACATGGGAGGAGGTTTCGTTCATGTTAGTGGACCTAATTTCCTGTTGATGATGGATTTTATCATCGAATACGAGGTTATCGTGTGGACTATCAAATCATCCTTGAGGTGGACAACACGCGCCTTACATATGAATTGAACAGTAAGTGATAGCCTTGCTCAATGCCAAAAATATTTTTGAGTTCTGGTAAATGCAGAACTATTTTTTATAATTAATGTTAAAGCACTCATTACTATTGGTGTCGAAGATTTAATGAAATCAAATAATTTCTGTCTACACTCTATTGTACACTGCATTTCTATCATTTTATGGTCCCTGTCGTTACAATATGTATCTAACAAAAGATCAGAAAGACAGGAACGTCAATCTGTGTTGGTCATGAAGAAAAATAAGTAGTTTAGGCAGTTATTTATACAGAGTTCTGAAAATTAGGTGTGTTTATTGGCTGTTAATGCCGTCAAGCAGACAATATGAATAGTAGTGTTGAAGGAAACGTATTAGTCTAGCTGAATGACGATAGTGTATTCGGTCGAAAATAGTATTGCACTTCTAATATTAAGTGGCTGTTCCTTAAGTCGGTGTTTTATAAGTAGTAGCTCAGTTGCAGCTCTGTCTGTAGTGTCTCTAAGTAAAAGATATTTTTTTCGAAAATTGGTTTTTTAGCAAACTTGAAAAAAAGCAGCAGTGGATTTATTCAAAGTCGTACTAAAGAGCTTCTGACCCAGTTTTGGTTTCATGGCCCGGTTTATAATAGTAGAAGAATATGGTTACGTTATATCTGCACTTCAAATATAGTGTAGTAAAAACGATGGCAAGATTAGGGACCGTCATATACTTAAGAAGTGAAAAGGAATTTCCTTATGCGCATTGTTTCTTCTTGAATAACTAGAGGTAATCCTCGTTTACATAAAATAATTATGACTGAATATGAAGTAATAAGTTCGGTCATGACATACCTGGAAATGTAATCTTTAAACTATGCGAATGAATTGTGTTGAACCATCACATAAGGAAGCAGAGACTGATTATCAGGCGCTCTGCAGTACCATCTGATGCAATGAGTTGGAATTCAATTACACAAATTGTGAGAAAAGACTACACTCATTTTAAAGAAAGTTGAAAAAGTCATCTAGGGAGACTATCTTCCAATTTCTATTACATTTTGTATCGTCATTGGTTGTACATGAAATTAATTTTACATAACTGGATTTATTTTGTTATTCTTTATCTTTTCTTATTTCAATTTTGACAAACTAGCCGCCTATGGAAAACTTTTTAATAATCAGAAGGTGATTTGGCTTGGATATGCACCGAAGTTGAATAAAACTGATGTCTTCCGTGGTTATATGACAGGTTAGTGAGGAATAAAATATCTCTTCAATAACTGGTGTTTATTTTGCCTCGTTTATTCGTTATGAGAACTGTTTAAGGGAATATGCATTTGCAGAAAATAAGTTTTGTGTCCATTAAGTAAAATGTAAGCATTACTTCTGAACGCAAAGATAGTTTTAAAGCCATTATTTGCAAAGGCCTTAGTTACTGACTTAAAATGAAACCAGAAAGTTCCGGTATTGCACGAAGATATAATTTCGTACTTTTGATTTTAGAAGGTGGGCACAGAGAATAAAAGTTTATTTTTCTGAGACGAAAAAATTCGAGCAAAGAATTTCCCTTCCGATTAATTCCTCTTCTGGCTCTACAATTATATAAGTATGTATATGTACACATATATATAATATACTGGAGTAATCGCGCCGCTGGCACAGTGGTTAGGACTCACGCCGACCATACACATGGTCCGAGGTTCCATCCCCTGCTGGCGCACGCCTTATATTAATGGTTGGCCTGCGAAATTCGGGCTGAAAATTCCATACTTCTATCAAAAATACAGTGTGGAATCAAGCTGTAATCAAAAAAATTAACAATATTGGTACTTTTAAATACTAGTGATTTGTTAAATAAGATCAATAGAATTACAATTCAAGAAAGACTCTTACGTTGTAATAAGTATAAAAATGTAATAGTAAGTAGAATATCAAATAAAATAAAGGAAATTTCTACAACAAATTAAGGATCTTTAAAACTTTGATGGTCAAGGTAAGGAAAGTGCCTGAACCAACTTATTTTAGATACATAATCTACGTTTCTTAATGTAGTTCCCAACAGACTCAGCAGTGTGTAGCAGACGAAATCTTAAGGTGGTGTTAACATTAGTTGGTATGCGATAGATGACTCTGAAAGCCTTGTCAGCATCAATCTTGTGTTCTGTATCCACGGGATGAGACAGAATAGAGCTATAGATAGATTTTGTATGTCTCTTACTTAATCACGCAGGATATTTTTCGGAAATCCGATGATAAACACGCCTTACTGTACGGCATGTGTAACTGACAGTTAAATTGGTAGATACACATAAGCACTCAAGCGCTTATCGTCATCTCAACGTATAATCAGAGGAGAATATTGAATCCACACAGAATACTGCATTATAAAAATGTCTTCCGCATCATGGAATTCCTTTTATGCTTAGCGAAACGGACACAACATCTTTAGATGTTACAATCAATACCATTATATAATGTTTAATGAATATTTTGAACCATTTATATAAAGCCAAAGAATTATGAGCACAATTTAGACATGGCTAACTAGAATTTTAAATAATAAATAATAATAATAATAACAGCTTTATTCCAAACAGTATTTGTGGTACAGGTTTGTTTCACCGATAGGCTGACTACAAGCTGAAGGTTGTGAGTAAAACATTTTCCATGAAAGCTTACGCACACGATTCAAGAGATCAGATCATTTCTCGCTGCCCTGTGACTTGATCTACCAGTGATTTCTTCCTTAGTCATTTTAGTGAATCAACAATGCATTGCATTTGGTTAAGACTTTCACCAACTGACGAAATTATCACGTGGTGATGCTAACGACACAGAGGATAGCGCCACAAAAGATGCAGATGAATCGTTTCATCACGAGTAAAGTAAAAACTTAGTGAGATGATAGACTTAACAGCCATTTAATTTGCACCAACTTAAAATTGAGTGGATCAGGTCAAACCATAAAATTCGAAGTCATAAATGCAACAGATAACGAAAATGTTATGAACTCAAAACAATAAATTTTTACAATTAAAGAAATTAAAAAATGTAATTGGAGAACAACAAATGTTTTCTTTTCAGCATCTTAAACTTCAAATTATTTTGGGTCTAATAACCATGGTACCATTGAAACATATCTAAGACGATTCCATCTTGTTAGAAAAATATTTGCCCACTGGTTTGACAATGCCTTTGTTTTAATCATAAAAAGAGTAGCTAACAGTGTGTAAACTTAAATTTCTATTGTAGTCAAATCCAATTTTGGTGGTAAATCAGTTGATTTGATGGACAATAAAACGGAAATTTCATAGAAAAATTCTCTATACTTTGGGTATGTTTTAGTATATATACAGTCATATTAGCATTTGACTGACTCACTGGGTTCCAGAATAGAACATAGAACATAGAAGGGAAGCATTTTTGACTGCTTCAGCCAATGTGACACATGATGGTAGGAAAAAAAAGTGGAAAAAAATTCAAAAAATTATGATGAGCGGAAGTGCAGAGGAGAAAGAATAGTGACATGAAAAAACATGAGGATCTAAGGAATCTGGAAGACTACAAAGACTTAATGCATTTGTGCCACTGAGAATACTTCTGTACTGTATCACCAACAGTTACAGACACCGGTTCTTATCATCCCATGAACACTAAACAAGCCGTCTACATCCCTTCGTTTTCGATTTTATCCTGCGTCAGTTATTGTAACTAGACTAGAAAGGAAGTCAAAGCCAAAATCGAAAAAGCAGGATACACTCTCATCAATTTGAAATAGGTTTAAAAATTTTCTTCACTCAGTCAGCATAAAGAACAAGATATTGGGCTTTTCAACACCAATATGAAGTACGTTGGTTCCTCATATGAGTCAGAAACTTTGTCAGAGTGTCACGGAAAGGATTTCCAGCAGGTTATGGCGGACTTTTACCAACAGCTGTCTTCACTGGCTCCATAATGAAGATCAAATGGGATCAGAAAAATATAGGAACAAATCAGTCAAGAACCTGACGTCCAACAATTATTTAGGAGAAAATGGAGATGGACTGGGCATACTCTGAGAAGTGTGTCGGTTGACGTTACGCGCCAGGCTAATGCTAGAGTGGAATCCGAATGGGAAGCTACGAGTGAGTCGCCCTAGAGTTATATGTAGGAGATCACAGAAGCAGAAGATGAGAGAATATGGGCAAACGGGGGGTGGGGCATGTTGAAGAGAAGAGCAGGAAATAGAACAAACTAGAGATGTATTGTAAGAAGTGGCTAGGCACCTATCCGATACATTTCATTCGATGCATTTTTGCAGCCTCATTCACTAAGTTTCATTTCTCACTCAGCTCTATACCCCCTGGCATCACTATTACTCACCATATTATAGCATTTAACATGTGGAATAAGATGCGATCATCTTTCATCACAGACACCTAGCCTTTTCACATCTTCCATTTCAATATGAATATGTTTTTCGCAAGTAGTCTAGGGAAACTCATAATTTCACTAGCTATGTGGATTGGTAGATACAATATAAAATTTATCTAAAGGTTAAGAAAATTCGGTAAAAATAAATGTGAATTCGTCTTGTCAAAAGCAGCATGAAAGAAAAATGTTAAGAAAGTCAGTTTTTGAAATGCGCTGACATAAAGTCGATTAAAACAAACAATGGAATAAGGTTGAAATAAAGTTTTTGAGTTCTTATATTTATTTTTAACAAATCAGGACCTAAGTGACAAAAAGAATCATAGTGATAGCTTCCACCCAATATTCTACCCTTACAATACTTATTATATGAAGTCTTGTGCTTTTCAAAAGGAAAGTGTACTTCACGAAATATATTAAAGAAGGTGTGAGAGGTTACACTGTAACCAGCGTCTCTGTATTATGAAATAATTAAACTCGACAAATATTTCTCGATGGACGTTATAAGTAGATAATTGTGCAGGAGTAGATAAATATGTAAATGAATATCAAAATGAACAAATAAGGCAGCAACTATTTAACTTGAAGGTGAACAGGTGAAAGGATTACATAGGTCATTTGTACAAAGGGACTTCGGATACGCCATCTGTAAATAGCTGAAACATTAGCTATTCGAGATCTGAAAAGCGATACATACATTCTCTTGCTTTACCATGGCCAGAGTAAAATTCTTACCACAATTTTGCTTCTTTCCTTTAAGATGTAAGTTCACTATTATTATTATTGTTGATCTTAATACTTTTATTGTCATTATTATTCCCATCATCCACATCTTATTACCACTCTATTACTGTTTATTAGTAACATTACTTTTTCATACAGATTTTATGCAAAAATACCTTATAGCCTTTCCACTACTTCCTGTCCATTCTACACGAGCTTATTGATTTGTCATTATCTCACACTTGTTAAGACATGCCAACTTCTGTCTCCTTTCTAACTTACAATTAGTCATCCCTTCTTACACCTCGCATTATGTAGTACAATTTTCAAAGACAAAGTTTACCAGTATCTGATTGGTCTTAAGACTTCTGTGTTAATTATAATTACGATTGTACAGCTCATGAAAATGAACCGTCGAAAAGAAAATTTTCTTCGCTGTTTGCGCCTTTTTCTTATGACTCAATATGGAATACTTCGTTCATTTGTACATTCTTTTCTTCTCAGTGCATTATATTTCTGTAATCAAATTGTAATTGATGTGTTAACAAGGTTTTCATATTTCTGAGGAAAACATCTGTTTAAACACAGAAAACATATATAAAAGTGGCCCACGTGAAATATTCATCGTAATTATGATTTTTTTATTTCCTACACGTTCCAAGTGGAACATTGGGCTTCAAGCTAGTGGCTTGAAGTTTCTGTAGCAGTGTTTTTGATTTTACAGGATGGGGTTGCTAGCCTCATGCCCAACCTTTCCTCTTTACCAGGATTATTTCTGGCTTAGCGAGGCAAAGGAGTTCGTCAGCCGGGGATTGAAACCCGACCATGTGCATGGTCGGCGAGTGTGTTAACCGCTGTGCCGCCGACGCACAGTAATTATGATTATGTGGCATTCATTATCGCGTCACAGTCCGTTTTAACCTTGATTAATTCAACTGTGAAAAAGTTCTACTTCAAAAAACATAATATAAGCGTATTATCCTAACGAAAAACTCACTGATGATGATCGATTAATGATTATCATGGATATTCAGATAAACATGTAGTTATTACTTCAAAAGCCGATGATTGATAAAGAATGGGATAGTTAATCTAAGTGAATGAAAGGTGTAAATAAGAGTTTGCCAGCATTTCATTCTGTCAATAATTAGTAACCGTTAAGTAAGGTAACTGTCCCTATTACTTGCATCGGTGGTCCAATAGTTGCATGCTTACCAACCTACACTGAAATTCTGGTTTTGATCACCGGTGGATGAGCTTCAAAATTCACCATATTTTCCTTCCTGGAGAAGCCTGGAAAACAGTGAAAGTTGGGAAGGAGTCTGTCTATTCATTTGCTTAACAATGACTGATACCACTCCTAGTGAAGATTCAAAAATCTGAGGGTCTATGCTCCACTCGGTTCACACTGAATAGAAACAAAAGTAACATTACCTATTCAGATACAACTACCTGGAATTAAATAAAATAAAGTAACATGAAAATTCGAATACGCTAAAAATAGTGTATTTTGGAATTTTTAGACACTCCAAGATTAGATAAACCAGTTTCACATAAAGTAAACTGATTTCACGCATAAGTCATAAAAAATAATTTATGTGAATGTCGACGATGGCTTCATTTACGCATGTCATTTGGGTGAATGAATGCTATGTGGCTGACAACTGATAATAACTACCTTATGATCAACTGATAACTAGAGTGGACCGAAGCAGAGAAAAAATGATGTGGAAAACAACAAACCCCATGGCATATATTACTGCTGGCAATAATATCTGAGTTACGGACAAGACTACATAGTTGCTGCATATGAACATTTTTATAGTCGTCTCCAGTTGACACTGCAACACCTGAATGTGTTATAACTGTAATGAGAATATGCCAAGTAAATACCAATTGATGCCTTCTTCTCTATAACTAACCAAACTTCCAAGAGTCACACACAGTCAAAAAGTATATTCCAGCTATGTACAAATACATTTAGCTTGATAGAATCGCCGTTACTCAATAGTGCTTTCTAGCAACTACACAGTCTAAAAGATTCTAAGGTACAAAGACCAGACTATTTGTAAATATTAATTGGCCAAAGACAACAGTGATCTATTTGGTAAGTTAGTAAGAGTATTCCACACAAACTAGGATCAAAACTCTGCACTAAAATATCAAACAGATCGAAACATGATCGCTAGAGACAGTCAGAGGTAAATCAGTCACTCCATGATGTGCTGTATGGTATAATGGTCACGATAGTAGAATAGTAACCACAAAATTGGTCGAATTATTCAGATTGTTTACAGGTCAGTTATTCTGTTACATAAATATTTGACTTCATTCAACATATTAGCAGTAATCTTATTTGCTTTGACTTGTAAAGAAGTGTCAGTAGGTTGTATCACTCGTGAACATTCATGTAAATATAAATTGCTTGTTAAAGACACTGGAATCTAGTTGAAGTTCTTAGAGTAATAATAATAATAATACGATGACAAGATCAGTGGTCAGCGATTGACACCTGGAACAAATTTTTACCATTTTCAATCCGCTACATTCCGAGTACAACATAGGGATTCATTATGTTGTACTTGCTTCTCTGTAATAATTTTCAGCCAGCTTTTGCTGTCTCTTCACACTGTTGTCTCAGTATTGCGCCCGGGCACTTGAATAGTCTCTTTTTACCTGAGTTCTATTCGGCGGTCTTCCTGGTATGGGATATCAGCTAATTGTCTCCTCAGAATATGCCCAACCCGTCTCAGTTTTCTCCTGCAAATTTGTTAGGCCATAAACTATTTGACTGGTTCATTTCACTGTTTTTAAAGTTCTTCCTAATGGCGTGAGTTCATTTAAAGAACTTTCATGGACATATATTTTTATATAATAATGACTTTACATTTGTTGTTGTTATAATACGACTGTCCAGCAATAACTTAAATAATTTTTTGAAATTCTCTTCTCCAGGTGTCTATTATAATGGTCTACTTTTAAATGATTTGGCTGCAGGCTTGTCGTATTTATCATTTATCCAAGTGACACGTTATGGAAATGTTGAATATGTGCCAAAGTTTCAACCACGTATAACTAAGTTATATTTAGTTGAAGAGTAAGTAACTTCATTTTTCAACAGTCAATGAACACTTTTTTTTGAAATTAATTATCCCTAATATTATCATTACTATTCTCCTAAGAAGAAGTTAACAAAAATAAGGATTGAAACTTAAGGTCTCCTACATGGTGAAATTGATATTCTTTCAAATGAAGGGAAGGCGTTTAACTCAAGGCAATGATGTCAGTATGCTGTAGTAAAATATTTAAGAAATACAGCCTCTTTAAAATAAAACTGGAAACAAGTTTTCACTGATTAAAAATGCCCATTAAAATTTTCAAAAGAATGGATAAATTCATCATCAGGATCTACATTAATATATGCATTATAGTGAATGAATGAGTTAGTGTTATGAACCACATTAATGTTTAAATAACATCAAATCAATAATATTAATAGATTACAGCTGAATTGCATCAACATAAAATAAGCTGAATGTCAGAAAAATTAGGAAAGATAATAATACAAATTCATGAGTTTATAGTTTCTACTGAAGGCCAGGGCAATAGTAGGGGCTGAACTTGCTTCTTTTGAACACAGAACACTGGTTGTTGAGGCGAATCGCAGTAGCCTTTGCTGTTTGGAGCATGCGGTGCTTCGATGATTTTGACAATTTATTAGGCATCCGGTATATTATAGAGAAGGATTCTTCTACACTGGGTTTGTGGTCGGTGTGCAACAGATGGTCCAATATCGAGCTGTTAATGGTTTTCACTACACCTTTACTTAGCCATGCTGCGAGATATTCTCCAGCACGAAAAATCAAGTTCATAGAGCACCGGCCAATATAACTCGGCCCACAAGCTCATTTGAATTCGTGAATGCAATTTGAAGTGGCTAGTCTAGGTACTTCATCTTTCAGTCGAGGAATCACCATCGGTCGTGTAGAGAACAATACGTGTAGTCCGCCAGCATTAAAAGTTCTTTGAACTGCTTTTCTTCATTTCTTCGCAATTATCTCGCTTGGTATATCCCCCATGATTTGTAGTCGTATATAAAGAGGCTTCTTGTTTACAGATAGTGAGTAGTCCTTTTCCGTTTTCCTTGTCATGTGTTTCTTGATGAATTTGTTGGGATAGCCATTTTCGATCAAAGTATCGTATGTCTTCCTTCACGTTCCAAGTGGAACATTGGGCTTCAAGCTAGTGGCTTGAAGTTTCTGTAGCAGTGTTTTTGATTTTACAGGATGGGGTTGCTAGCCTCATGCCCAACCTTTCCTCTTTACCAGGATTATTTCTGGCTTAGCGAGGTAAAGGAGTTCGTCGGCCGGGGATTGAAACCCGGACCATGTGCATGGTCGGCGAGCGTCCTAACCACTATGCCACCGACGCACTCAAAGTATCATATACAGTGCTTTATTCATCTTCAATTACTTCTTCTTAGCATATAGCTCTAACTCTGTGGCTGAGGGTCTTCACTAAATTTCTTTAGTACTTGATAGGAACGAAGCTGTGAAAATGTGTACATTGTCATGTTCAAGTGCTTTTTCTATGCAAATTTCTTTTTATGCTACCATCTGGTTTTCTTGTAAGTAGGACAAGTTTTCTTAAATTTATGTAGGTATTCAAGTAAATCACATGTTGGCAGCAGTTCAAGGGTATCAAAATTGGAAGTTCTCTTGAAATTGATGTGCAAGAAAAGCAATCAGCAACTGTGCGTCGATGGCACAGTGGTTAAGACTCTCCCTGACTATACACATGGTCCGGGGTTCGATCTGCGGCTGACGCACACCTGATATTAATGGTCGGTCTGCTAAATTTAGGCTACTGATAATATGTGCTGAAAATTCCATAGATGTACCAAATACTGTGTGGAACCAAGCTATAATAAAATAAATAAAAATGTAAAAAAATAAAATAGCCTCGACACATAAATTAGTTTGTCATTTTAAGGTACTTCGATAACTTTTGTAATGCTGACCTAATAGCACTCGATGCCACATCCAGTTAACTTGTGCTTTTTTAATTCTTTTCTTCTCTTCATTCTACCAGTATATTTTACAGGTGTTATGTGTAGCAACTCAAGTTTATAAACATGAGTATAATACACTATAATTATCTATTTATTTGTTCTCAAATATTTTAGTTCATTATCTATGGAGTCAAATCAATCTGATGTTCATGGTTTTACAAATGTGCCTGCTGACAGTGCAATGAATTATGTGGAAAACAATGAACACAACAACGATATTACCACGGAAAGCAATCTAGACAAGTCACCTACACTCTATCCTATTACAGATTCCCCTCATTTATTATCACCCTTAAATAACAATATAGTTACAAATAAATTCACTACATCAAATGAAATAATTTCTAATGGAAGTCAACTTAACGGTAATAAGTGGAAATTTTATACTAAGCTGAATGCTATACATGGACAAGTAAACATATGGCTGTTAGTCAGTCTAGCTGGTGCTGGAGTAGTTATGATTATCTCTTTAACACTTTTAGCTTATAAATGTCATCGTAATAGACATGCAAATTCACATAGTATACAGCCAAATGAAATGAAATTTAATAAAAACTATCAAAATTATATTTCCCACAGTGTCATTAGTAAAAGTCGGAATTCAGTCGGCTCCCTGCTGAGTATGGATGATATTCCCTGTGCTCTTAAACCGAATCGTTTAACTCATGCTCTGAACAGTCTTCATCTCTTTCAGATTGTTTGTCTCAGCAACCAATATGCAGCCAAGTATCAATTATTAAAAATAATCATGTTATTTCAACACATGTACCAACATCGTTTATTTTTGTTACTGACTCGATAAATTTACCAATGACAACCTTAACAGGTAGGACTGGAGAATGTTTACTACCGGGGGATTTTTTACCTATAACTCACGATTACAGTATTAATATTAATCCAGCTGTAGTACAGGATGCTGAACATTTCGCCACGTCTGTTAGCGACAGTGAATTTATTGGTGATCAACGAAGTGAATTATCAGATGTTCAAAACGACTGTTTCATTAAAGCAAATGTTATGCACTCGCCCAGTGATATATGGAATGAGAAACAACTTAATAAAGCTTCATTCCTTGAGTCTACATGTACAAAGTTAAATTTTGATACAAATTAATTCTTCTTTTTGTAATCGAAGTGGAAGAAAATACGTAATTGTCAGTACCATTTTAAAAGCCAGTCTCATCCATATGAAATTTAGTTATTCTTCTCCCATTTGAAATCAATTTTGGAATAGGATTCGAGTCGCCATTCATATGGACACTTATACTTTCAGTTTCATACAGAAGTGTTCACATTACATGAAAAGCGATAGTCAGTCATTCAAATGGACTGAAATACTGTGAGCAAACTGTAAGTTTTCCAAAGGTGTACTGACAAATGAAAATAAACTTAAAAACTATCATATTAATGGTACATGAAACGGGAGTCACTGATAGTAATAAGTGTTTGGATAATATTATCAAAGTTTACAATGGAAATACATTCCTGAATGTTCGAAATTCATTTACATGTAGGTGATTCGAAAAAAGGTTAACAAGTTTCAAAAGACAAATTTACGAGAAATAAATGTTTTTCCCTTCTCTGACAAAATTAAATGGGAAGGAACTGTTATTCAAACCTTGAAGTTATCCCTGTTGATTCACTAATCATTTGAGTTTATCCTGCACATTAGTCCTACATTTTGAATGCAAACTCTCACTCGGGACTAAAATTTCCAATATTTAAACTAGAAGTATTTCAACAAATGATGGAAGCGAGGATATGTCATAATAAATAAGATTTAGCTTCAAGTACGGTTTGACATTTTATTACATTTGTATAAAAGACACATGAAATAGTACTTTATAGTGAGACGAATATCGAACTAACAAGGAAATGGACAGTATTCTTTAGCATCTCGAATATTATTCAGTATCAGTACTTATTACATTATTTCAAAGTTGCACTGACTGAGGTTCTGTTCAAGTAACTAAACTTATGTCTTTCAAATATGTGCTCACTCTATTTTCAGTGGATATGGTCTTTATTGTTTAGAGAGAAATTTAGGCAGCAACGAATTATGTTTAGCTTTCAAATGAAAGCATAATGAGTGTAATCTACAGGTGAAATATGGTTTTATAAAATGATGTAATTTAGAATAAATTGTAAATGCTTGTTTTATTTTTCTAAATTATGTAATTTTCATTTATGCTAATTACCTATAACAATGTAAATTCTATAATAAATGTCTTCTACCTCAGCTCATCTTTCAAGATATTAGATGTTATTGTTAGGATAGTTTTTTTATGAGAATATGACGTTCGCTAACTTGCAGTAGCATGTCATGAATGTATGCATATATTGAATGTTACTGGTTGTCATACAAGTTAACTTGAAGCAGTATTAACAATGATGTTTTTCAATATTGCAGGTTCTCTATTCAGGAGTCAACTAGGATAGTTTCCTTGACTGTGGTGATTTTAAATTACTAGTCAGCATTATTATACAGGCAGATGGTTTTCATACATATCTGGTTATATTTTGTAGACATGCTTGGAACTCTGCACTCTGATGTATTTGTGATATGCTAAATCGAAGAGACAGTAATAAAATAAGTCTGGTATAAATAGTTATACCATGTGATTTGCAGACAATTTACGCTCAGTATTCAGAAGCAGAAACACTGTTAAATAATAATAATTTGCTTTATTCCAAAACAGTACTTGTGATACAGAATGGAATTCTCAGCATTTTGCTACAGTATTGCATCCAGTTAGTACACTAACAATGTATAAAATTCTACATAGATGAAGAAAATTTCAGTTAATTATGACAACAATATATTGGCATGTCGGTAGCAAAGTCAAAATTGAACAAAGTGTTTGAAGGTGCTAGGAAAGTAGCTTCTAGCATATTTACTGGCGTAAGCAGAAGAAAGAAACAAAACTGCACATAACAGAAAAAAGAGAGAGAAAAGGAAAAGAAAGAAAGAAAACGTTGTACCTATAAATGATATGAGTTGGAAAGACGAGATCCAGTTGTTCTACTGACTATTTAATAAGTTATAGGTATGACGCCTAATGCTTTCTTTATCGCACAGAACACGAGCTAAGTAGGGTATGTTTGAGTTTTTGTACTTGATAGTGCGAGCATATAGTTTTCCATAGAAAACTATATAGGCTTCGCGTTTTTCCTGATGAGATACAAGGGGGGGGAGAGTTGTGAATGAAGAGGGTGGTGTGAGTTAAAATAGTGATGTAAATACGTCGATGTGATCAGGTGAGTTCAGTGGTTAGTGGGAATGGCTTTATAAAAGTTCAAAAGAATCACAAATAAGCTTTGTGTTTAAATCCCCCTTCTTTTATATTAGGATTATTCAACCCGTTAGACAGCAAAATACTTTTTTCTGACTATCATGAATTTTCAAAAGAAAATATGATGAGATATAACCTGGAGTTCTATACTTTACGAAGAATCAGGTCTAAACATACTGCTTAGATCTTCTTGTCTTTCAGCTTTCTTACGGATGATGCAAATTTTATTGTGTGAGACTATATTCTGATTAAGCTTTTATAGACTTAAGAAACGTACTGACTTATGATCTGTGGTAGGCAACCTATTGCTACTATACATAATCTCGTTACCATCTGGAACTATTACAACTCCTGAGATGAAATAGCAATATTTCAGTTGTTTTACTGACAAAATACTGGAAGACAGCACCACTCACCGCTCCACAAAGTGATATGGTAAATTTAAAAATTGTAGATTCACTTCGCTTAAAATATTTAAAATCCTTGGCATGTTGACTGAATTTTGTTTAGATTCTTTCAAAATATTGCCACCTGGAGGCCTTTCACTCTGTAAAACATTCACCATAAACAAATACTAAGTCTCCACGTTTCATTAATTAAGCTGTCATAAGAATCTTGTGAAAAACAAGTCTTATTTGAGTAGAAAAATTCATAAAACTGTAAAAATTTATTTAAATTTGTGAGAAATTAAAATCAGATTTAAATATATGATCAGTAAACAAAACGCTAAGTGCTCCTAATTCAGAATTCAGAACCTTAATCTACTTTTAGGCGATAAAATTCTGACTATGAAATGGTAATTTATATATCTTTTATGAAACATTGTAAAATACAGGGAATCCAACAGTCTGTGTTTTTCATTTTTATGGTTGGAAAATTTTTATATTTTGTAGAATTAGTTGGTCAATAATTAATACTAGACTAAAGAAACAGTGAAGATAAAAAGAAGTTGAAAAAAGTTTATTTCACAGTTTACAGCTTTTTAGTGTCACTGAATTGTGATGCAAGTACAATCTTATTTAAGCAAGTCCATCACTAGCTGCCTGTTGATTCGAACTACATCGATAGAGGGCATCAAAATAAAAGTTCGCCAGTTCAGAGAAATAAGAAGAGGTATAAGAATAAAACTTGTGCACTGCAGTAGAGTGTAATTCCATGGGTAAATTTTGTTTTGATAAAGTTTCACAGTGTTGTACAGTAATGTTTAGTGAAGACGTTTCGAGCACAATTTATTACTCATAATCATATCAAGGTAATCACAGGAAGTCGTGTGATTACCTCGATATGATTATGAGTAATAAATTGTGCTCGAAACGTCTTCACTAAACATTACTGTACAACACTGTGAAACTTTATCAAAACAAAATTTACCCATAATGGAAATAAGAATAGAGCTAAATTGGTGGTAGGTATATAAAGGTACTTATTTATTCTATAGATCAAGATAAAAGAGCCACCATATGACTCACAAAGTGCAACAGTGGATGTTTTTTTCAAAGTATTTAAATGACAAGAAGATAAAATTGTAGGAAGCAAAGCAAGACGTGAAAGAACTTTAACTTATGAATATTACTTCAGATGAAACAGACGGATTGGATCCAGCGACTGGAGTATTTCGTTAATATATATTTGACAGTTTAATAGTTTAGCAAAGATATCTTTTCAGAGACTTCTTTCTCAAAAGTTGTACAATCGCATTTATATATATAAGTTTACATAGATGAAATTAATTTTTAATGCCACATAATAATGAAGGAGATTAAGAGAGAAGCACCATAACTGAATACCTCGTCAACACTTGTCACAGCATCTTAACTGACCTACCAATCTGAGTTACTTACAAAGTAAACAAAAATACCAAAGGCAGTGTGTTTCTGACTTCCTTGTACAGTAGGAGACCTCACCATACGCATCGAAAAGCCGGAGCTATGTGTTCTAAGGAAACCAGTCCAACCTCTATATTTACCATGGATCTAGTGCGGTTTGATTCCTTAGCTTCCATTCTGTTTGATTTTTTTCATCCCCCTCATATCTTTTTTAATTTCAGTGATAAAAGCGTTATTTTAGTTTATTTCCATACTCAATCCGTTCACACCCGTATTCGTTAAAAAAAGCATTTTCTAATCCTGTGTAATTTGTTTCCAAGCCCCTTGTAATCTCCATTTTCACACCTTCAAACGTCCATATCGAGTTCAGAATTATTTTCACTTTTAACCCCCTTCCTTATTACATGGAATTAAATAATAATTTCATGTGTAATCCAGTATATTTATATATATATGCTACTGTACAACTTTTGAGAATCAAGCCACAGAAAAGATAACTTCGCTGAATTTCTTTTTCTTTACTCTCTAATGTCATAATGTATATTTTTCACGAATTTAATAGTTGTATAGGGAAAGCGAGTTGTATGAATTACTTGTGAATAAATGACATTAGTCCCCAGAAGTGATGTTTATCCATCCTGTTGCATTAAATGAATGAATTTATAATAAATGGCGGAGTTCCATGAATAAATCAGATGCAGCTGCCTCGTGTAAACCTTGAGTGTATATAAAGAGATTAGTATTGCTGTTGTTTAAATCGATCCATGTTTCGAATGATATTTGATACTCAGAAATTCGTCAGGTGTTATCAGACTTAGCTGATAGTGGTTATTCGGTGGAGAAACCAAAAGCATTCAAATGATTCATCACATCCCATCGAATCCTTCCAATGGACTCCGTATTCGTCTACCACATATGGCTGAGGTGATAGACACTAAAACTAAAGAAATTCGTAAAGCCATTATTCATCACTTGGCCTACTGAGTTCTAACGAG